AAGTTTCCACACGTCCACCCTCCTGTCCCGAATGATTGAAAATTATTCATTACTACTCAATAAAATTAGTAACATTTTTGCATTTTTTACTATCTCTATGAGACATATATTCTATTATCACTTCGTCTTCCGTCTTTCCCGCTGAGTCATGAGATACTCACAGAATTTCTGAAAGTAATAGTAGGAATATGTCATTCTTTAGTAAAAGAAAAATTAAGTCTACATACCTTTTGTATACAGGATATATTGATAGAATAAATATTCAAGCTCAATAAATATTAATCTAAATATAAATCATAATTATATGAAACAAATCAGCAAAAATATTCGTGTTTCAATATTCAAAACGATGAAATATGGTACGTGTTAAATAAAATAAAAAGAGAAAAGAGAAAACTTCATTTATTTCGATTAGACATTCCAGTGCGTTATTCTAATAAATAAATATATATGAAAAATAATGTGTGATATTTTGTTAAAATCTGCTCGCAGTACTACCGAATAGTAACATAGTCAGGAAAGGAAACATAAGTGGGCTTCGGTTTCTCTACACCATAGAATATTCTCCTTATATACATGCTTATTGGGTATTTTTCTTTAAGATACCGATACGTAAGCAAGAAAGAGAAAGGGAAAAAAACCAAAGTCAGGCTTTTTATCAGCTTGACCTTTCTAGTTTAAAATGAGTCATCTTATATTTTGTTTTTGTCTTACCCAATCGATTGGATAATTTTCCTGGGTATTATTTTTCTTGCTCTACGATTTCTTCCATCATATGAATGATGGGCAAAAAGAAACTGTATCAAGAAGAACATGGATAAGATGAACGCATATATTACTCATCTATGCATGTTGGGTAATTCATCGTTTCGAGTGGGTACAGGTCTCTTCTCCTTATCAATAGTCAAAACGCAGATCCGCATACTTCTGACGTCATATAATTAGTTATATCCAACATGCTTATATTCAGTGGCTGTCACATTCATCCAATCAATCGATTATCCTTTTTTGTCTGTTTGTTTGCTAGGAACTAAATAAACTAGAATAATATGTTTTTCGTTTGATTAACGGTCATTTCCTTTATTATTCTAAGTATACTAATAAAGAAGACTGCAGTTCAAATCAATTTAATCTGTTTTATTTATTTATTTTTTTGTTTTGAGATACAATGGCAAGGTATGGGTGACAGACACAGTCTTATGCATACCTACATCCTATAAAAGATTTTTTAAGCAGTACGGATTTTCGCAGAATATTTTTCTGTACAAAAAAAACTTATATTTGAAATCAAAACTGACTGTACAACTTAATTTGTATAGTCTTTTTTTATATTATCAATGGTACGAGTAAAAAGCTTATCGAAGTCTTAGCAAGAGATTGGATGTATAGCTCATCAAACCTTGTTCTATCAAATGAAAATTAACATCAAATGTTGTTCTAAGTTTCATCCTTTATCTATATAGATGTGACGAGCAAAATTTAGCTATGCAGATAATTAGATCTGTACTTAGGTTGGTGCTGGAACTACTCTATCCTTTTTACTCCTGTCATCTATAAAATATCAAAGATATTTCAATTAAGTGATGAGGTATGTTCAGGTTTCCGAAAAAGGTAACCTTACATACAAATTGATAAAAATTTCTAACATAGCAAAAGAATCTACCGAGCGATGACAGACACAAAATCACCAGAAATTTTGTAAATTTCACAGGATTTAGGGTGTGGGTTTGGGTGGGTGTGGGTGTGTGGGTGTGGGTGTGGGTGTGGGTGTGGGTGTGGGTGTTCACGTTCTTCTCATTAACACCCACACCCACACCCATAACTAATCTCAAAAAGGATATTTCCAGTTATTGTCAAAAAATAAAAACAAATTATATAAAAATTAATAGGAAACTTTTAAAAATGTCGATACACGTAAAACAAATTCACCTCCAATACCGACCTGCTATGGCTAATTACTATGAAATTACTACACAATTTCAAAAATAAAAAGAAATTACTTGACTCATTACACATATACATTACTGTAATACAATTTTCAATAAAGAGAAAATTTCCTATTCTTAATGATATCGCTAATATTAGTAATTACTGAGAAATATCGGACATTACCAGTATTTTAAGGGAGAGGAATTTTCTTCTTCATATGAAAGCACATTCATATTTACATGAAATTAATGTATAGTAATTTTCGTATTTACTGAAAGTTTGCTGGTAGTTGCACAGTAATTACTGAAATTTCTGAATAGTACTCCTTGTTAAGTGCTTAGATTTTCTGAAAATATTCTGAATTTCTGTATTACGGAGTACTGATAATTAAAACTATATGATATTTACTCTGTATTGTCACAGGAGGGTGAGGGTGTAACTTTTCTCTTTATAGGAACGATATGTTTCGTTTTACTGTAGTGCATCGTATCAAAAATTTGTAAAAAAAGGCCTTTTTCTTTAGAATATCTTGTTTTTGTTTTTTGTATAAAATGACCGACAGAAGATGAGCAATAATGGAATATTATGACCTGTATCTTCTTCAGATATATCCATAAGGATTCTCCCTCTTTACTTATAGGATTATACATTTGCATTTATGTTCTTCTTGTTTTCTCTTGTTGTTAGTCATGTGCCATAAATTTTCCTTTTCTGTCATATATGTGGAACATTTTTCTTTCTTTTTGTACTTATGTCATGCTGTTCTAAGGATTGTCTTTTCTTTGCTCATCGTTTATGAGATTTTCCATTGGGTATTTCCCAGCACTTGTTATTACGCTATATATATTCATTATATGGTTGCGAAGAGATATTTTGCAGATATATACGTACATATAAATAAACTACAAATGGAATCAAGACCTCACATGGAACAAGAACATAAAAAATTGAGAGTGATTCCTATTGATTTTTTTCGATTGAATGCAAAATTTGTTTTTTGTAAAACACAGTGGGGAATCATTGTTGAAGTATATGGGGAGAAAAGTAATGCTAGACCACCTGCATGACAGATAGATCAGAAAGAATTCTCAAACAATTAATATATTTACGCACCATTATCTTTTTTCAAGTGATTCTATTGATTACACATGTAATCTAGGTAAGATACCTAAATCATTCGTAATTAAGTAAAAAATCCTTCATTCTGCGACAATATGGTCATTTGTATGTGAGCATGGTCGAACAAAGGAACCGTTCAACAAGCAGAAAGAAACACGTTTATAAGCGTATGTTATGTAGTCTAGGTCCGAGTATATATGAAACTCACATTTAAACTGAATCAAGTATTGTAGTGAGACAATTTTGTTGATTAAGGAAGTAGATGTTTAAATGTTATGTCACGATGATAACAAAACAATTGATCGTAAAATAGACAATGATAAAATTGAAATAACATCGCTACAATATCCGGTAATAATTCTCTTTCAATTCATTTAATGAATGTTATATGATTATACGTATATTTGCATTCACTCTTAAGAAGAATAAATATTGACTTTGGATGCAAATGGCTGTCTTTGGAAAGAAAATGTCACAAATAAGTATAATCTATATGAAAACATATGTTCGTGTATATATACGCACTGTCAAAAAAGACTATTGACAACTGTGCTTCTCTTTCAAAGCGTCAATGATGTTTTTTCTTTTCTCTTCATAAGCAACATGTAATTAGTTCAAAGTGATGCTCAGTAAATATTGAAAGTATGTATTATTTGGACATAGATATTAGTTGGAGAGTCGACTGAATACGTTCTCAATTTATAATTATCTAGTACTTGTGAAAAATATCTTAATATGTGAACATTCGAAACAAATGTAAGCAATAGTCGATACATGTGCACTGAAGACACAGTTTATAAATATGGCAGTAGAAGTGTCAATCGAATTGATTGAAATGTGACTCAAATACTATTTCACAGTTTTGTAACTTCACGCTCCATTTTCAAAGGATTTTTCATTCATTTTTTTCGGTCTTCATATTGAGATTTCATGTTTTTTCCATAACATGCTTGGCACCATTGTATGAAGACTATCAATATCCTCGTATAGTCTCTTAAGCAAAATTTTGATACTATAAAAATAAAGAGAGAGAAAGAAAGTCAAAAGTGATTTCAATTGCAGATAAAGAGATCTTGATATTCCTATTACCAATAGTGTAGACAGTATTTGAATTCGAAATCTATTATATTTAATTGAATCGAGTTTTATATGATGTTTCTAGTCAATTTTTTTGAATCTAATGCATAATAATGTTGAAGTAAAAATTTGTCAAATCAATTTCGTATCATTGTTAAAATATTAGTTTTATTCTCCGATGTATATGACCTTTAAATAGTAATCTGAAATATCATTTCAATGGACTCACTCGACAAATCAAGGCTGATGTTTGTTAATATCTCCTTTCTGGTTTTCTGAAATTGCAAATTTCATGTAGCTAACATATATAGGCTATCTAATTATGTCTTAATTTTACAGCTTGTCGTGTGAAAAAAGAGTTATCGGTGCAGTCCTAAATGAGATTGAATTGTGGAACTTACGTAACAGTTTAGTTCTAAAGAAGCAGATATACGTAAGTGGATTTTGAATTTTCAGATTTCATTTTGATTTTCTACCAGAGAATTTATATTTCAAGATAAATACTAAAAAATAAATATTAAAATAAAATTATTTGAAGCAAATTACATGATATATTAAGTGAGGACAAACTATATGCTGGACTTCAGTTGTATATTAAAATATCAAGAATTAATCATGCATTTGTTAAAGAGTAATGCACAATTTGGTAGAAACATTTTTCAGGTTAATCAGCTAGAAGCAAAATAGGCACCGGTTATTGTAATTCTTGTTGGATGAGATCTGGTGGAATTGACACACAACTATTCTACATTCCTATGGATCTAGGCCGAATAACGGAGAAATCTTTTTCTTTTCACATCTCATTGGTATCGATTTTTTGATAACTTTGAGTGTTCACTCAATAGTCTTTTCTTCTAGATTAGAAATCAGTTTCAATGTTTAAGATTCTCATCATTACGTATTTATTTCTCATTTTCAAACTCTTCTCATGTACAATTAACGAATCAAAACCAATATTAACCCTCGACGAATTTTTCGATTATACAAAATTTCCATCATTGATTTTTTCGCCAAATGGTCAACATTTACTTATTCATAAGAATCGTCCATCATGGAATTCAAATTCGTATGAGAATAGTCTTTGGCTATATGAGATCAAAGAACAACAGAAGAAATTAATTACAAGTCAGTTTGACGCTAGTTTTCGACCGCGATGGTCGTCAAATGGAAAACGAATTTTATTTTCAAAAGAAAAAATATCCGTAACTGAAAAATTTAAAAGTCATCTTTATTATCGATCTTTATCAGAAAATAACTTAATCAGGGAACAAATCTTTTATGTTTATTGTATTGAATCCGATAAATTATTTCCTATTTCACTAGGATACTTAATTCCTACTGCTTTAGCATGGTCGAATAATGATTCATCTTTTTATATTGCTGCAATTTCATTAAATCTAAATCAAGAAGATGAATGGCAAGATGTGATTCGTTATCGAGATAATAAAATCATTGATGGTAGTATAATCTATCGTATTGATTTCAATATTGAAAATCAAATATCGTCTATTCAAATGAATATTGTACGACATGTTCCATTTCAAATTAGTGATATTTTATATGTTCCATATGATGAACAACTTTTTCTTGTTTCTATACCATTTATTTTCGAAAATCCGAATGATTTTGAAATTTTTTCTATCAATCTACAGGATGAGCAATCACCAGAAAAATTGACCAATAATTATGGATACGAAGCAAATCTAAAATTATCAAACGATGGTAAAAGTGTATTCTTTATGTTGCTTCCTGTCAGTTCGATTGATGGAACAGTTTTTACTACACAACAACGTTTATATTCTATTGATGTAGCAAGTAGACAAATTGTACATTTAGCAAAAGATTTCGAAGGTAATATTGAAGACTATACAGTAAGACCTCATGGAGGAGTTTATATACTTGGACAACAGGGTACCAATACTTTCATTTATACACAATCATCTCCGATGAATTACTCAATATTACATCAAGGATGGAACGGAACCTATGAATCTTTATCATCATCAACTGAAAGTTCCTCGTTAGCTTTTGTTTATTCAGCATTCGGAAAACCAAAAGAAGTCTATCTAGTTGATAATATTAATGATCTCCAATCGGCTAAAGCGATTACAAATGATAATGAACTTTTTACACAACGAGATTTACCTCAAGCGAAAATTTATCGATGGACTAGTAGTGAAGATGAACGTAACATCGAAGGAGTTTTGTATTATCCACCAGGAAAATTTGAATCGAAAAATTTACCACTTTTTGTTCTGATTCATGGTGGTCCAGCGTCGGCAAGTTTAAATCATTTTGATGTGAAAAGTTATTCTTGGGCACCGATGGCCGCTTCAGCTGGTTGGCTAGTTTTAGAGCCCAATTATCGAGGATCAATTGGGTATGGTCAAAACTTTCTCGATGAAATTCGTTATCAGCCATTATCACGACCCTCACGAGATATTCTTTCTGGTGTCGATTGTTTAATTAAGGATGGTATTGCTAATCCAAATCGTCTTACTGTTGGTGGTTATAGTTATGGTGGCTTTGTAACCAATTGGCTAATTACACAAACGACACGCTTCAATGCAGCATTGTCTGGTTCTGGTGCAGTTGAACATGTTTCTCTTTGGGGTACAATGGATTTTCCTTTACTCTACAACAACCTATTTGGTGGATTTCCATGGGAAGTACCACATATATATCAAAATCAAGCACCTATTTACTATTTGGATAAAGTACGTACACCTACATTGATCGTCACAGCTGAAGATGATACAAATATTTTGCCTGATCAAAGTCGAATGTTAGAACGTGGCTTGTATTATCGAGGTATACCAGTGGAATTATTGATTTTTCCAAATGAAGGACATACATTAAATAAGAATCCTTGGCATGGCAAAATTAAAGTTCGAGAAGAACTTAACTGGCTAGAAAAATATGGTCATACAACATCAAATACGATCAACAACTGACTTCAAATAACATGTCTATGTTTTGTCTATCTGTTTAAATCGAAAAACAATATATCATCTCTAAATCAGTCTCTTCTGTCAGTTGAGACGTGCATGTATAAATTATTAAAAGAGCTTTTGTATAAGAACAACTAGAGGATATCCATTGAGCGTGTTCGAATTCTCGTGAAAGATTATCAGAAATGAATTCATGTCACGGAATCTTGTTGAATTATTTATGAAATCCTTCAGTGATAATTGTTTGTAGGTTTCTGCTCCACATTGGGCAAAGACTTGATATTTCTCTCATCGCATATATTCGAGTGCACATATAGCTTTCCAATGCTTTTAGTCTACTTATCCGATCGTGATCTGCTCAACTGTCGATCGAACTACTCATTTATACACAGTGTACATCAAACATCTTGAGACATATTGATATAGACATTAATTCAACCATGTTTCATCCATTTAAATATGTAGCCTATACTCGAGATGTAAGAAGTAACGAACTGCACCATGGTGAACGATTCACATTAAGAAAATCTATGTTACAAGTGTACAGATAATGAAGTGACTGTAGAAAGTCAAGTAACATTATTCAGCTTAGCAGGGCTGACGTAACCAAAGGAAGGGTCTTTCTAACAGTAAAAAATGTTTCACTTCGTCTACTACGATAACGAACACGAGCGAGCAAGTATCCTCTCAAAATAAATAAATGCTTCACCTCGCACATGTTCTCTTTATAAAGTGAGTAACAAGGCATTCGAAATTTAGTCATTACAATCAGTTTAAAATGGCTTGTAAACATTTATTTGCAAGGGCATCTTTCAAAAAAGTGAAACGCTGCATTAACTGTGGGTGTTGATGAAGTGAAAACCCATTCAAACTTATATTGTCACTCTCAGTATACTTCTCTCTTGAGTCTCTTGAGAACATAATTGACTTTCATTTAAAAAGAGCATTTTGTGCTAGGATGGTGAAATCATGTTGCTCCATGTAGACTTATAGTAACGCAGTACTTCATCAAATAAACTGAAATATCGCGATGAATAAGACTTTTTTTTCTTATATTATATAGTGAGAAGGTCATCCGGCGAATGCTTTTATCTAAAAATGAAACTCTTGTGAATCACTCGGCTGAATTACGTCATAGCTCTGGTGCTAGCTTGTAGACCACTATGTTCTGTTGAAAAACCGAGTTTAGTAAAGAATCGCTTGATATTTTGGTGCAGTTGAGAAGTATATCAAGTTTGTTGATTGGGGAAGATCTACTAACAAGCATTATTGACAAATGAGTACTCGAAAATATCAAAATATTACGGTCAAATATAATGTATTCACGTATACTACTTGAAAAACTCAATTATCCAATTTCGGCTTTTCGAGCATACGGTTTCGCAAGTGAGAACAATGGGGCATCGTTTTCAAAATGACAATCTCCTATGGAAATCAATGCAGTTTCTATTCTTCCTAGCATTTTTCTGTTAACGGAACAGATCAACACAATGGTCTACACAAACTTGTTCCATTCTTAGTCCATTTTGTAGGCCAGAAAAACTTGAACGAAGAGCACGGAGAATAAAAGTTCGGCTTATCGAGAATGTGTAGATGAATGAACAGCCATAAGTCTTTTCTTCATCGACATCCATCTGTCCTTGCACATTCACGGTTACCTTCAAACACGCTTTTAATCGTTCCTCAACAAAAATATGAATAAAACCTCTTCACTACCACGCTTTCACATTATTAATGATTGCTTTCGTTGCCGAATTTATAATGATTCCAGACAGTTCTTATTTTTAAAGAAAGAAATTCAAGGCATGTAAAAGCAAAATCAAACATTTCATTAGTTAATACATGTTTATTCTGAGTTGCTATTATAACGACAATTTGAATTCGTGGACTTGTTTGAGTTGCATTCTCTTTTAATTTAGACATGAAAGAGGCGTAGTAAGTTTTCATTAACATAAGCATTGATTTTTTTCCTACGTATGTTATTAGTAGAAAATATCGACTGATACGAATCGATTGTGTTTCATGTTTTAGTCCTGTAAGAATTAAACAGGAAGCCTTTAACCATAGATACGGCTCGGAAAGCCATTATTTCAAGCATAAATTCGAGATAAGCATGCTCAGTAAGAACGAAGTTCTATATCAAACACTATTCTAATCATATTTGACTCTCAGTTCGAGAAATAGAAAGATATTTTTTTCATTAGATTCATCAATCACTTTCAAGTTCGATTCTACTCGGATCTTCTGCATAGCTTTCAGTGAAAGGTCGCAAGACATAAAATTGCACTTTCACTTTTTAAATTATCTTGAAGATCTGAGAAATAAGAAACTTGAGAATCATTGTTGAATCAAGTGAAAAAGAACCTGTTAAAAGCTAAAATTGAAGTCAGTGACATTCAGGGTAATGTTAGATGTGAAATTCTGTTCTTACCCAACGTTTCAATCAAGAGTTTATGCTTGCAATCATAATTTCTCAGGCAATATTCGTGATAAAAATTTTGTAAAAAACATGATTTCACTTCAACCGAAGTCTCATATCTAACGGGACTTTTGATCAGAATTCTAGCGTAAGATAAGTTAGATAGATATGCCTAATAATATGTACTGTTGATATCAGTCTTTACCAATAGTAAAACATGTGCGAAGATACAAATAACATACGGATGTCTCCACTAGCACATATCCTTCACATCGATTTGATAAGAAATCCTTAACATTCTCCGATTGACATAATATAGTCAAATATGTTAGTTCAGATTCATGTTTTCAAAGTAAACCAAGATAATTAAAGAAAAAAGCCAAATTCATCGAGAAATGTTTGTCATCACAGCTCCCTTTATGATGAAAAATACGGAACTCATATTCAATTACCCATACGACTATAAGAAAGATTTTAAAAGGTGCAGAAATCTCTTTCAAAAACATGAGTCGGTCGAATCGACTGAGTGTCACTCTACCTTTTTATTTCAAATATTTTCTAAATTTGTTGATCGTATGGGTGGTTTTCATTCTTTTTGGCTTAGTCTTCGTTCATTTGCTTTTGATTCCATGCTCGCATTCATGCTGTTACTACTCAACGTCGAAACACGCGACCATACTTTCAAAGCCGTGTTTGAGTCGAAATGACAAGTCTTGTTGTTCCATACCGGTGGCCAATCATTTTCTCTCAATAACTTTAGCTTTCAGCGTTTCTATTCGTGTCTCCTTAGTCATACCGGAATGTTTGTGATCATTCAGGTCATTATCTATCCAAAAGTTTACAGAGTCGATGCGTAGTTTTGATCATTAAAGTTCATGATGTTCTGGAAAGCTTAGAATGTTCTTGACATGGTATTACTTTTGCCTTTTCATGTTTCCTCCATTCGAAAGAGAAATCAAAATTTTACATTCATTATATCACTTACTCTTGCTCAGTTATCTAGAAACTTTGTTGAATAAAATGTGTCCAAATTGTTTTCACCCGAGTCTAAGATGACAAGAAGAGGCACTTTCTAGTCTGATAGTAGGAAATCCACCCGAATAATAGGAGATGCGTGGTTCGAATAATCTGAAAGAATTATCCTTTTCTTCATTCTGTTGTCATACCATTTCGCACGGCAGATTCAATAATCATGTGACAAAGAGAAGACGTATCACGTATTAATAAGGGAAAAGAAAATATAGCTTTGCACTAAATTCTTCGGTTTAGTTTGAAATTTTCAGAAAAAAACACATGGCGACAAATAAAGTGGTTCCAATTGGCTACTACAACCGCCATGTGTTACCTCATCGGGTTAGTATTCGCTATTGAGTAACTTCGATATCAGGACAAATGATTCATGTTATTGGTCATTTAGATCATTGCAGAACGACCAGTACAACCGAAAACGATATTATCGAAGAAATTTGATATCAATGAGTATGAAGTTGGCGAAATTATGTCGGTTAGCAGTTTTATATCCGATTCTAATGAATCTCTATCAAGCGATGCAAGATTAGCAACTTCATACACGTGAGTTGCTATAACAGCGAGTGCATGATTCTCTATTTTCGTTTGTGTAGAATGCCATCATGCTGCAAATGCGTAATGGTAAGTGTAATGGTAATATTGACAGTTGGTCTCATCGCTAGCATTATCTTACCATTTACTTTAATAAAAGGTCAAGCAAATAATTCATATGGTCAGTAAATGAGTGATACCTGAAAACATTATCAGAGTTGTCATTGACAATGCTATTGCCTATAAGTGCAAAATTTACTCCACTGGACAGTTACTTTACTGGAAACAAGAACTATTGTTTGATAACTTTACTCAGCAACTCGTAACTGAGAGAATTACTGATTAAAAATTTGCAGTCAATTGATACTTGGGACTCATTCATTTACGAATAACCCGTTATCAGGGTGAGTGTGGGTGGGTGTGGGTATGG